ATTGGTGAAGGCGAGCGTTCGCGCCCCCTCTCCCAATTGTCCTCTTTACCAACTGAGCTAGCGGTGTTAACCTTTCTGAGTTTCTTGCCGTAATTTTTTCATCCTATATCTTGGACATAGCTGGGTAAGGAGCATGGACGGCTCTCACTGCTGTACAGTCTGTGGAGCCATGCTCCAGACAGATGAGGGTCACAACCTGTGTCCTGCCTGCCTTGGACATGACCATCTGGTGGAGGCCTTGTCAGAGAACCCCTGCATGAATTGCAGCTTCATGTCGCGTGCTGCAAGGGTGGCCCGGCTGGCCCAGTTTCACCCTGAACTCGGCGATGATCTCCTGCCTTCTGGGCAGGAGGCTCCACCTAGGCGCTCGAAGCGCCGGACTAAGGCAGCAGTCTCTGTGGCCCCTCCTGGGAAGAAGCGAGCCAGGTCTGATAGGGGCCTCTCCACGAGGATGGAGTAGCTCTCCGCTGAATTAGCTGAGATGAAGTTCCTTTTTCAGGTACGCCAACTGGGGACTGAACCAGTGGCAGCGACCGAACTCTCCTCCCCACCCATGCCTGAACTGGCTGCAGAGGAAGTTGTTCTATCCTTGGCTGCCTCTGCCTCTCACTTTTTAGGTGAGGAGGAGGGGCATTCATCTCAAGTCTCAGAGACAGCTTCACTTTCTTTTTCTCAGAGCGCAGTTAGTGGGTCTGGTGACAGCTCGATGCAGGACGTCATGCATATGGCCCTGAGACAACTGCAGCTGGACGTCCCGTAACCAGAGGCGTCCACCCCTGGAAGTGCCTTCTTCAGGCGCGGACTGACCCCTCCTTCCTTTTCTGTCCCTCCATCAGAGGAGTTCCTGAGGGAGTTGCATGGTTGCTGGCGGGACCCCAAAGCCTTTGCGTGCTTCTCCGCAGATGGCCGAGTGTTGGCGGCTATGCACGAGCTGGCTGCAGCAGGCTTGGATCGCATGCCGGCGATAGAACCTGCTGTTGCCTCTCTCATCGTGTCACCAGAGGAAGCTCTGCGCAGTGATGTTCGGTGCCCACGAGCTCAGTGTCGTGTCACGGATGAATTCCTCTGCAGAGCCTATGCCACCAGAGCGCATGCTGGCCGCTTAGGCAATTCCTTGGCACACCTCATGCTTGCCCTCTCCACGTCCCTTCAGGGGACTAGTGGTGCGACAGCAGCAATAGGCTTTAGCGATGCAGCACTTCAGGCCTTTGCACTAATGATGAGGGAACTTGGGCGCGTGATGTCCTCCTTGGTCCAGGCTCGCCTACAGGTCTGGTTGGTGCAGTCAGCATTGACTGAGCCATGCCGTAGAACCCTCCGTAATGTCCCAGTGGTGCCGGGGGAGTTGTTCGGTTCGGCTGCCTTGGAAGTGCTGGAACGGACTGTCCAGGCATGACAGAGAAGGCAGCAACTTTCAAGCCTTAGCAGGGCAATGCCCCCTCCACTTCCTCGGCATCCAAGGCGCCCATCGGCTGACCCCAGCGTGCAGCCGCCGCCTGGGGGTCATGATCGGCCGGGTGGTCTTTACCCTCATGCGGTTCAGCAAAGGCCCAGCAGGAGCTTTTGTGGGTCGGTCCACCGACCAGCTGGGCAGTCTCAGACCAGGGACTCTGGCTGCCGCACCCCCACGGCCAGGGGCCGTGGCGGGAGACGGTGATGCCATCAGGCCGACCGTCGGATATTTCTCCCACCAGCAGCTCAGTTACTGGACTGCTCACACTGTGGACCCATGGGTGGTTGCCACTCTGACCCATGGTTACGGGCTACAGTTCCGATGGTGGCCTCATATCTCACGCCGGGTCAAGATGACTGTAATCGCCAACCCGTTGAAAGCTCGAACACTAGACCAGGAACTTTCCGCCCTCCTGTCCAAGGGCGCAATAGAGGCAGTGGACCCTCTGCAACAACCCAGAGGCTATTACTCGACTTACTTCCTCGTGCAAAAGAGGACAGGCGGGTTTCGTCCCATTTTAGATCTGAGGGGACTCAACCAGTACCTAAGGGAGCTGCCCTTCCACATGCTCACGACAGCAGAAGTCCTTCAAGCTGTCACGAGGGAAGAATGGTTCACGTCTGTAGACCTGAAGGATGCGTATTTTCATGTGCCTATTGTGGCAGAACATCGCCACTTTCTCAGGTTTGCCTATCGGGGTCACCACTGGCAGTTCTGGGTACTCGCATTCGGGCTCTCTATCTTCCCGAGGGTGTTCACTCGGTGCGTGGAGGCAGCCCTCTCTCCTCTGCAGGCCTGCGGAGTGAAGGTTCTGCCATACTTAGATGATTGGCTTCTCTGTGCCCCGTCTCAGGCCTGTGCCTTTCACGACACAAACTGCCTGCTCGCTCATGTGTCCCAGTAGTGCCTCAATGTCAACCTGGAGAAGAGCTGCCTGATCCCTTCTCAGACGATCACCTTTCTTGGGATGGTTCTGGATTCATCTTCCGTGAGAGCTCGCCCATCCGCTCAATGGGTGGCCGGCATACTCCAGCTGGTCAGTCGGTTCGGGCTGGGCAGGCAGCTCCCCTATGTTGCCTTCCTGCAACTACTCGGCAAGCTGACATCACTCACTCGGGTGGTGCCCTTAGGCCTGCTGTCACTTCGCCCCTTGCAGAGGTGGTTCAACAGCTTTTGCCTGGATGCCAGGCTGCACAGGCGTCGCAAGCTTGCAGTGACGTGGTCATGTCTTCATGCCTTGACTCCATGGAGGGACAAAGATTATTTGTCCAGGGGTGTCCCCATGGGAGTGGTAGTGTGTCGCAGGGAAGTGGTCACGACAGATGCCAGCTCCATGGGATGGGGTGCTGTGTGGCAACGCAGAGTGGTTCAGGGCCGCTGGGGTCAAAGGGACCGCTCCAAGCATATAAATGTGCTGGAGCTGCGTGCAGTGCACTTGGCACTCAGGCACTTCCTGCCTCACCTGGAAGGGAGGCATGTTCTTGTTCAGTCAGACAACACCTCTGTTGTTTACCACATCAACCATCAGGGGGGCACCAGGTCAGCACAACTTCTGAGAGTGTCAGAGAGCTCCTGGAATGGGCCTCTCCTCGCCTGTCCACCCTGCGGGCAACGTACTTACCAGGGCGACACAATCAGGTCGCAGATTTTTTCTCCCGCCATGGGTCCCCTCCGGGAGAGTGGTCCCTCCACAGCGACATAGTGCTGATGATCTGGGACCG